AAATGATTTGTAAAAAGACAAATGATTAAGAGCGAAATTCTTCAAAAGATCATAAGTTGACTCATCGAAGAATCACATCTCAAATTTACGACTACTCCACATTATTTTTATTAAGTTCAGCACTTCTCTCGGATAATTCCGAGAGTGAAGTTTCACGTCAACATATCAGTTTCAGCACACAACAATCTTCAATACCTGTCGATTTGCAATTATCATCCGATTCTTTAAATTTATCATATCCATCATCAACGACTATCTCTTCAACATCGTCAAATTTTGCAGAGCCAATTTGCATTAATAATACTATTAGAGGCATCAGATTGAAGAAACGTTTCCACTTTTCCATATCAAATTTCTCGCTGCTGTTCACTGAAATGCGATTGTTCCATGAACGTGTCACGACAACGACATATATGTATGCATGCAGCCGCTAAACCAATTCAATTCAAACTTCATTCAGCATCGGTAATTATCATAATCCGATAAGGGAACGGCTCGCTTGTGTCTTAAAAACACATCAAACAAGTGAAACATAAACAGTTTACTGAATTCAAATGCCAAATAACAGAAATGAAAACAAACAACAATAAAAAAACGCATTCAATGCGAATACGGAACTGAAATCAAGAAATGAAGTACACGAGAAGTGCAGTGATATAAATGAGCGATGGCGATAATCAATCAACAGGTCTTGCACAAAACATATCGAATAAAACAGAACACACCAAAACAAGGTACATCTATCCGAGTTTGAATAGAATTTCCGAGAGTACGCTTACTATCATTATTACATACAAATGAACACGCGATCAATGAACACGTAAATGAATGATACAGCAATATAAAAATGATGAGATGAAATGAAAAATGACTCACCAATAAGAGTGCATTAAAAATGATTTATATTTAGGAGGAAGTAATCAATGGAACAAATCAGAAGGAAGGAGCGAGAAACGAAGAGACAGATGACAACGTCAAACGGGTAATTTCACAATAGTAAACCGAAGGGGATTATACTATTGTCTGGTCAGTGGACAGATATTATTTTCAAACCGTTCTGAAGTTAATTTGAATGTGAACTGATCAATATTACAGCATTTGCAAAACAGTAAATCAATTAAAATGATATACAGAAAATCGAATGAAATAACAAATTATAGACAACACACTCAATAATACTAAGCTGTCAACATGAAAATCGTTCAGAATATTTCCACGAAAAGAATATTGTCAAATAAACTCGCGAACTGGTAAAATTTGAGATGATCAGAAAAAATTTCGTCAATGAAAAAGAGATCGACGAGGTAGTAACAAGGAGAGTTTCGGTTCTTTCAATCCGATGATACGCACTCAGATGGCGCATTCCGTTTACCTCAAAGACTCTCCAGTTTTTCGATTGCTTTCGTCAATTCATTTGCGTATTTATCGTAATCCACAGGATGAACATCAAAAACGGTCCATTTTATACGTTGGGCATCCTGAAAAATCACCTATTTCGACTCGAACAATCTCATCGTCACGTCACATTCCATCTGTTAATGATCGATACCATATCAAAACAGAATTTTCCGATTAGCAGTTTGAATATATCGGTGAGTATGAGCTAAATAAAGATTTATTTTTGTGAAATACTGAACGTAAATGATGGAGAAGAGAAGAACAGAAAATGAATTAATGCCATCAATCAACTAGCATTGTAGACTTCTGATTTTGCGCGAATACGGAATGTATATTGACGGAAACGTATCGCACTGAATGCATCGTTGTACTCATCCAACTGCAAATCACACAACAAATGAAGTCACACATCAAATTCTGTCTCTTCAACAATATTTCGATACGATTGTCACGAATAAAATTCAAAAAAAAAATTTGATTCGCCGAACATTTCCTACCAATGAAATCGTGAAAGTATTGTACAAACTAATAATTGCAACTTTTGAAACGTAAAAATCAACTCGAACGAATCTGAACTTCGCGATCCGTTGAAACCATTTTGGCAGAAATTTGATTCTCATCCCAGTTATGAAGATAAAATGAACGAGCAAGAACAAACAACTCTACGAAAAATGGAATTCATTTCATCAAACTTTACCTGATCATGATCCAGGAAGTTTCCCAACTCCTCAGCTGTTTTATTCAACAATTTATAGGCTTTCTCTTCGAAGACCGTCACCCAGTGCAATCCAGAGAAGTCGGCTATTTCCATCTGAAAATGGAACATCGTCGTAACAGCATTAGAGCCCTACTCAAGTCAAATCGACAGCTTTTCAGGATATGCACAATATCCTTATGCGCAAAATATGATAAAGCTTTCATTTTCCCCACCAACTATTTGTGTTTGTGCAAAGTTGCTTTATTTTTAGAACAACGCAATAATACTTCGAAAAATTATTTCCTTTTGCAGTTTTGTGCAAATATCAACTGGATCAATAGTGCAGAATAACATTAGTATGATAAGAACAGAATTAAAATGAATATGATTATGAAAGTGAGAAGGGAGTATGCGAAGCGAAAAAATTATTTTCGCTCGTAGAAACTTGTACCGAGAGTAGCAGAACGTATTTGTAGGAGTCCAATGTCAAATCACATTTCTCACATCGGTAACCATTCTCAAATTCGATCACTTTCTTTTTACAGCCATTAGTACCACAACTCTGCAATCGATGATTTCAGTTCTATTCGGAAATTATGCATAATTGTAACTTATTCGAATTCGAACTTCTACAATATGAAATCAAAAATTCCGAGGAAAATTTGCAAAAATAAAATTAGCAATCGACTCTGAAAAATAAAGAGTTCAGTTAAAATATTCAACGAAGCAACGATCAACCTTATAAAGAGCACCATCGGTTTTTATTGATGAAATCATAGCAGTGACATTGAAGTAGGCACCCTTCGGTTCTTCTTGGCCAAAATTTAAGTCTTTCGCTATACCGATTACGTGCAAATCACGAGCTATAAAACACAACAATATGTTTGCATTCAAAACAAAACATTCGCTCAGAGTAAGGGGCCATTTTCAAATGATCAATAATCTGTTCTGATGAATCCAACGAGTTTTATTCAATGAAGAATTCAGAACATTTCGATTCGTATGTGATTTCTTTAACTTACCATAAGCATCACCCGACAAGACAGTGCTAGTCACATATTTTGTCTCAATACTAGGTCTCTTCTCTCGGAACCATACGTACAACGCTCTTGACTCAGTGCAATCTGGATTTACTTCAATTCGAGTTGAGTTCATCGCCGATAAATTGTAACTTCCTGGAATTATCTGAGGTGATTTTGAGCAGTAATTAAAGACGGAATGAAACACAGAATCATCACTTCACCGTCCGATTAAAAACTCATCAAGCATATTCACTTCAAGGATTTAAATAAGCACTCAGAAATTTTGCAGACGAACCGTTATATTCGCGAACACTGGCTCCTTTAATGCCGACCACTTGATGCAGCAGGTCGGTGTCATTCTTCTTGGCTTGTTCACCCCACAATGTCAACACCACAACCGTGCCACTCGTATCGATCAAGTGTATATCTCGTTTATCCAATAACGCTCCAGTGCTGCGTTGCGTTACCTGAAAGGGAACATATAAACACATTATTATATTTCATTCAGTGTTCGAAAATATTGCGTTAAAACTTTCTTATATAAAACATTCTCAGTGAGCAACTAAAATCATTGATGAATGTTGTCAAATGAAAATAATCCTGGACAAACTCATCACAATATTAATACAAAGTATTCCAGTTAAGACAACATAATTGTAAAGAAAGACTCAGCAAGAAGGAATTCGATAAGAACTCAAGAGCATGATCTGCACTGAACTAATCACCTGTTGCAACTCAGAGATTTGATCAATGATAGCCAATACGTCAATACATTGTCCGGCACGTGCTGGAACTGCTGATAGCGGCACAATTGACAGTTTCATTTTTGGTTCTGCGATCATACTTCTATCGACACAAGGTGAAATCTGATAATATATCTTCTGAATAACTGCACACGATAAATCAATGCACCGAAAAATTTCAACGCCTTGAAGATTTCATAACAAATATACTGCTGAAAGGAATTTTTCAACAAAATTCTAGCATTAAAAAAAGAATTTTTCTATTCAAATGAATCAAAAAATGATTGCTATGGATAAGAAACAACTTTAACTTAACAGAAACTTTCCAAACAATCATCTTTAAAATTATTTTCTGAAAAATGTCATCTGCTTACATCAGTGTCTTGTCTCACACTCAGCTCGTAATCGTGACCGGTTGTGTTGAATCGCTTATTTGCTTGTTTCACATTGCCATTCATCACATAATACATCTGCAAACTCAATTCATCGACAATCAATTTCTTCCTTCAATTCAATTCAATGAAAGTGAATCAAAAGCAAATTTGCAAAAACGTTGAAATATAAATCCCTCGATGGATTCTGTCTATAATATAATTCAACCGCTTCTTACCGATCCTTTCTGTATCATCGCGTAGAATTTCTCGGCCATCTCGGCGAACGCTGCCACACGAATGCAACCACCCTCTTCATCGGTTATTTCAAAATTGAATACTTTCAATTCACCGCGTTGAGCCGTTCTGATCACTCGCAGTTCCTCCTTTGCTGTTACCACTCCACAAATTCGCCATCTGTTTACAACATTAATATTCAATATCGCCGCACAGCATAAATTACACACATCCTACATTACCTTAACCATATTCTCATTTCATATTAGCTTAAAACCAGTAAGATTCAGGAAAGAGCACCTACTTATTGACATATGGAGTAATCAAACGAATCGGCGTGATATTCTGTCCTCCGAATGATCCGCCTTTATTTGGCGTTGTTGGATTCTGATTCCCTGGAATGCATTTCACCATTCCAAAAAATGAAGGTTCAAACAGATAATATATGAGCATTCAGAGTTTAATCAATAGAACTGCGGCAAAAGGAGATCAATTCAATCTCTCCAGTCATCAAAATCATAATCTGTAGTAACGTAGTGAAATAAAAACACTTCCAACACTTTTATTATCTACATGATGAAGGTCGAATTTTATACAAACACAGCAATAGTAATAAGCTCGATAACTTCTGCAAGTGATGTTTACCTTGATGCACAGTCGCGTTACCATTCTGTTGTTCTTGGTGTTGAATGACATTCTGCACATTCAAGCCTTTGAAGTCACTTTCATTACCCGAATGCGCAACCGGTTGGCCCAAAACGGGCAAATCACTTCCTAACACTTCATAATCGTCGATGGTTACGGTTAGTCTTCCTTGTGGTGCACGTCTATAAAGACGATTCATTCAGTTTACCGACGAAGGATACAGCAATGCTCATAAGCATTTATGCGGTCGTGTTTTGCATCAGATGGATTCCAGAGTAGAGCCACGACGAGTACGGAAACTTGCTCTGTTGAACAGTTACTTTCATAATGCAGTTCATGTTAGATTTGTTTTACAGTATCCTCTTTGGATTCCGCGAATTTTCTTTCGGTTTTAAACTCTACAATAAAGTTAGAATTGAAACGTTCGCCTACTCGCTTTTGGTCATTTTCTTCGAGTATTGCAGTACGCGAATGACCGGATGTCCTTCACTCAATTTGTCGGCTTCAACACGATCGAAAAGCGCCGGTGTATGCGTACACGCTGCAGATTCAAATGTTCAATACCGCTAGCATAAGTCACAGAACGATTATGGGAATAAAGCCTCTTTGAGGTCATAGTCTATCAATAAGAAATATTTCATTTTCAACGCTTGCAATATATATCTCTTTTTCCCTCAGTCAATCAACTGCAATCAAGTAGTGGTGCCGAAAATCTTTGAATATCATAAAATTGCTTTTATAAGAATCAAAACAGAGGAACAGTGACAAAGGAATATACATACTAGAATAATGGAAAACGCCATCAGATAAGCGGAATCGGTGTCTATTTTCCACTGGATTCTTCAGCATACGTGCTTCCTGGAATTACTTTTTCGTGAGCCCTGATCGACGGCTTATTAAACCCGTGTTTATACAGATTCCTCGTCAAGACAAAGTGAGAACCAATAAAGACAGGCAAACGCCGGAACACTTTCTCTTGAGTGTTCAAAAAATATAAATATGATCAACTAACAATGACTTGAAGCACCGGACTTTTCGGACAAGTCGGGTCATTCGTAAAGAATTTTTGAAAGAAATCACTGGTCAGGTCTTTGACTGTCAACATTCCGTTCTGAACCGGTAGGAGTGATTGATAACCTGAAAGATCAACACAGCTGACTGAAATCACAAATAAATCAAGCGTAGGACTGCTGGCCCGGACTTGGTCTGGCCCCATGTCCCGAAGCCGTCCATTTCACAGCTCGCAGAATAAATTCGATTCTTTCGAATTGCAAAACCTTATCAAATTTCGAAACAATTGGATATTTCGCAATTCCAAATATGCGTAGTAGGATGCGTCCATACTGCGGAAACGAAGAAAAATATCTAACATAGAAACGAGTTCCAAATTAAAATAATTTCTCAAACAATTTCCCGATGAATTCAAGGAGCTCGAGTCAGTACTTTAAGGTAACTGTCTTCATGATTTTTCGCTTAAAGCCATATTTAATGTGGTGCAAACGAAATTTAAAAAAAAAACAGTACGTTTTCATACAAATTATGCGACAAATTACAATAGGCAAATGCTAGAGTCACATCAATGGTCTTATTAAGGTCATCCTCTACAGCTTTGTAAATCACATAAAATCCTCATATGCTTAAAAATATCCTCCGAATATCCCGAATGTGCATTGAATATCGCGCATTTCAACTTTTCCCGCAATAATGACGAACTATGTCCAAAATTTTGAAAATAAGTTTGAAACAGATGCAGCTTTAGCAATAATATAACAACATTACACGCCGATTCCTTGGACACTTCTTAATTGGGAATTACAACAAATTGGTTAGCTTATAGAATTTTGTATCCACCAACCCTCAGAATTTCTCTAAATAGAGGAGATGAAGCGCATGACTTTTTTTGGTCACATTTTACATTAGAAAATGATATAAAAGGAATTCAGTTACATGTTTCGCCCACCACTTCAAACCTTTTTGAGACTGCAACATCCTGCTCACAAATTGGGAAACCTATTCTCATTCTCAACCCCAACATCTCCTTCAATAATAGCACATCTCTGATCAATCGGTTTATCACA